AAGAAGAAGAGAGAGAGAGAGAGAGAGAGAGAAGAGAGAGAGAGAGAAAATGAGGGAAGAACTGTTATCCATTTAAATTCATATATATATGCGTAAAGAAAATAAGGAAAAGGAAATAAATCAAGAATTAATCGTATGTATCAAAATGATAAAATTCTTCGTAAAATTCCAACTTTCCCTTCCCAATACTTGCTTTAATTAATTGCTTTTACTGATTATTTTAAAATAACAGTCTTAATAAATCATGACGTAAGGGTCTTATCAATTCTATATTAATTAATGTTTCCCACGCGTATTTGCTTTTTTGATATGTTCTGTCTCTCTTTCTCCTGATTTCATATTATCTGTCGTCGCTTTTGTCGTCGTAGTTCTATTAACATGTCAAATGAATAACAGTACACTGTAAAGTTCTTGCAAAAAAGACTTTTATAAGAACTTTTAACAATATAATTTTATACTACAAATCTTTATAGGATCTTTCAACAGTATTGTACTTTTAAATTATATATATTATAATAATTTTTAACTATTATTAAATTAATATTATTCTTTTTAAATATAATCCAATAAATAATAAAATGTTATATAAGACATTGTGTTTATAAGGATGTTTAAAAACATTAATATTAATAAATGATATTCAGAAGTAATAAATAACGAGATACAAACGTGTAAAATGTGCAATAAATATTTGATTGTATACAATTTTATTCAAGAATTCTTGAGATTATAGAAGATTAAGATTATAGAAACGTTTGTAATAACATATTAAAAATTATCGGTTTCATTTAATTTTACATTAACGATTAATACATATATATTATATATACATATAGCTTCGCGTATAATAATTTATATAATACATATTAAAAATCATTAAATTCATATAATTTATTGAAACTGAATAAGCACTTGAAAGTTTTATTCTCTGAAAGTGATCCTCGTGATCACAAAATTCCATTTCTGATTAAAATGAAAAGTTTGATCAATAAACTCAATTCTGAATAATGTAATTCTTAAACAAATGCTTAGGTTTATTATCTTGTCACTACTTACCGTTAAATACTGCCTGATTGTGAATTATAATTGTATCATACCATATATGATAATTACAAAGACAAGAATATAGTTACGTCATATCATATATGATAGTTACAAAGACAAGAACCAAACAATTGTACTTAAAAATAAATACGAGCCGCAGTTCAACTACGATTATTCATATAAATTCATATAAATTCATAACTTTCATAATCAATGTAATAAGCATTAAAAGTCATGAAGTAACGCCGCTACGATAGCGCAAGTGAACTTCTAGAATTCTGACATGATTAATGGATCCTCCGACCATTTGAACAAACGCGAGAAATAATATGTCTCCTCTTTCCCTTCAAGGATCACTGAAAGAACATTATTTAAAGGACGGCCTGACGCGAAGTAACATAATGCGAAAACCCTCGAAGGACACTCGATCCCGCACGGACAAATCCCGTATAATTGCGCAACCCTAATCGCAATCGCGCTCAGCTGCACCTGGGCCACCCATTTTGCGATCTCGTCGCTCGTCGGCGCGATTTAATCAATTAAATCAATTAATTATCACGATGCCGTGAACAAATTTCCGCAGGAAGAACTTCCACGCTTTCTCTTCCCTACAGAAATCCAATCGGCACGCAACCGATTATGCGATTGCGTAACGAGGCGCGTTGCTAAAACGAGACATTTTTCTGTTTTTCGAATGGAAATCTGCGGAATCGACGCAAATGATCTAATGGAACTACGATCGCAAAGGAGGAACCGCGCGTCGATCCTCGCGTTTCGATTCGATAGTAATCGATTCGCATCGCGATGACGTAGATCGCGAGGGGACGTCCAACGGAAGCCCGGATCTTCCTCCTAGATCCTCTGTAGATCCCGTCGAATAACAAACGATCGTTCCGTCCTCTCGGTAGAGTGAATCAATCCGCTTATGAAATTGCAGATCGGAATGCCGTTGAACCGTTGATGACGATCTCCATCTCGCGTGGCGAACGGCTCGTTTTTATTACTGGAATTAAAAGGCGCGAAAAATTCATACTCGCGCAAGTTTGCAACAATATCAAGGAGTCACACAATAATTTACTGACACTTTATTGCAATTATAAAATAATTATCACACTTGATAAATTAAAGCAAATAATTTACAAAATATATATGTTTTATATGATGATTGAGAAATTGCATGATAAAACATACGTTATTGTTAATTATCTATACTGATAATAATAATGCGGCATTTTTGCTAAGGAAAATCCATTTCATTTTCCTCGAGAAATACATCATTTGCAACATGAAGAAATAAAATAACGTA